GTACCCGAGTCTACATATCCCGAATCCATCAAGGTCATTGATCATATGGTTCCCAATAGTGGGTTCAGGTAATCGATGGACAAGATTTTTCTTCGGGTGCAAAGATCCGGGTCCATCGGGATGTTTTCCCTAGGCACTCCTGCAGAAATGCTTCCCCTAGGGGGAGGGGGGGACTCGGAATTTTCTCTGTCCCCTGAGGAAAGCTCCCGGCGAACGCTATGACGAGTCGGCTCCGGCGAACCTCCGTCGAGTTTCCGTCGCTTTCCGGTCCCGCCTCTTTTAAATCCGCTCTCTATATAAATAGAGTCGCCATTCAAAAACCTCAGAAAAACCAGATTCAACTCCAGTCGATCTCTCTCTCTCTCTCCGACGCTCACGAGCTCGCCGGCGGTCACAATCGCAAGCGAGGTACTGTAGATCCTTCCGTTGTCTCCGTCTAGCGATTCATCCTGTGTCGACATGCGAATCGATCCTTGAGCTTTTTGTAATCCGTCGATTTTCTTCTGTTATGGCTTTCGTCGCGTCTTCGTTAGTTCGTACACTCTGAAATTCCGGCGTTCGCCGATTGTTTCGAAGTGTTAAACAGAGGTGCTTTCGCGAGCGCACTTAGCTTTCCGATGGTGAATTCTATGAGATGCGGACTCTTTCGCTGCTCAGTGCAGTTTCACACAAAGATATTGCTGTTTCGCAGCATTTCTTTTCGTAGAAATTGCGCCATTATTCTGGGTTAACCCTGTGCTTTGCCCCCTGTATTAACTTTTCAATACTGCAATTCTTCATCATTTGCAATAGCTATAGTGGATCCACCTGCGGTCTAGTTGAACTCCTTCAGACATTTCATATTAGAAGTATGCGAGACTCGCGTACCACTTGAATCAAGGCAGAGAAATCTCGAGATGGTCGTTACTGTTTTGTGGTGATTAGCCGTCCATCTCAATCACTGCTGTCAGTTGGATTGCATTTGTGGAATGATGAAAAATGAATCTTCAGAAATATATGACAGTGGCATGTATATATGTGTGTTTTTGGTCGCACTGCTTTTTAATTTAAGGCTTGCAGCTCTCCACCTAACCACTTTGTATAAGTAAGCGCTGCTCCTGTATGAACTGTTTATATGTCGAGTTGTGGGTTTTTCACTTTAATGGACTGGCTAAGGTCCCTCCTAGGCTAGTTTATATATGCTTCTGCAAAAGATAAGTGCAAAAATGTTTTTGATGCTATGTTTTCACAAAGAGATTTCGCTTTTATGAAGAGAGGAGGTTGCTGTGTAGTATAGCCAACCCAACGGGTTTGCAAATGTATTTCCCCTTTTCTTTTGTAAATTGTGAGGGCAATTTAGATTCTCTTTTATGTTATGTTGTCCTAACTCTTTCCCTTGCAGATGGCAGAATCACCAAAGGAAACTGCGGTGGTGAATCGGAAAGAGGATAAATCATTACTAGGTACTCTGTAAGCTTGACAAATCTAAAAATACAGTTAATTCACTTCAGATGTGGAATGGTACCACAAGGATGCACATTTCTCTATTTTAAAACCTAATTAATATGTTTAGGTTATCATTGTTAATTTAGTATGGCCTGACTTTTGACGCTTTTGGATATCGTGGTCAATAATTAGTAACCATACTTTGCACGTACTTGGAAGTCAAATTTAAGCTTTCTTAATGTTGAAATAGGTTTTCATCGTTGTCATTGATTAGGATGATTTCTTGTACACATTTCTCGCCATGTCATATGAAAGTCAGATACGTTGGTCATAGCTCAACGATAAATCCGATTTCAACAGATTCTGAATTCGGAAAGGAGTTCCTTACCTTCTGGAAGTCGTTGTCTATGGCAGAAGACGAAGAAATTCAACTGTGGTAAACTGTAAGTGAAACTTAAAGTATAGGCAATTAGATAATAAACCGGTATGGATGTGGAAGCTAACTTTGATATTTTACTTCATACTTGTGTTGGTTACGTATATTCACCCCTGTACAATTACCTCTTTGTGGAGAATAATGCCCGTGGTGAATAAGCGAGCCATGCTTTACATATCATTCAACCACTACAAAAATCATTGATGGTGAAGATGCATGATAGCTTGTTACAATCTTACTTGTTATGAGAGTGGGATATATCTCTGCTTTCTGTGGATTGATTGTTAAAAAACCATTTTCAGGGATGTCGATTTTAATCTGGATGCTGACTTTTACAAGTTATCATCATTCAAAGTGGACATGCCATATCTCGATTTCTCCTGCCCATCTAAGAATTCTCCAAACAACAAGGACAGAAATGAAGCAGAGTCACCTGATGAAGGAAATTCCAAGAAAAGATTTTCTTATTCCTTTGACTTTAATGAGCAAGACAGTTTCACAATGTATATGTTTGGGCTTATTCTTTCATGACTTGTGATTGCAATCTAGGAACTTAGCAGTCATTTGTGCTATCCAGGTTGGATGGCTTTAATCTTGATTCACCCATGATTGAGGGAGAACAAGTTGGGAAGAAGGTTATAGGAAACAAATCGTCAGAGATGAATGAGCACCAGGGCTCAAAAACTCGCCTTCCCGAGGCAATTCCTGACTGTGCGGATGATGCTATGAAGGATAATGTTCGACCAACACAGTGTGTGGGTACATCAGAGATTCAGATAGAAAATTCTGTAACTTCAACTTCTATGCCTAACCCAAGAATGGATGATTGGGTGCCAAAGTCCGCAGCCTATAGAAACTCAATCCCAGAACAATCTTCTTTGGAAAGGACAAAAAACACTTGTGCCCAAGAATGTGATCAATAAAGTTACTCATCAGATAAAACAGTACCAAGAGAAGTACACATTTGGCCTCAAGCTTATACAAATTTAAGTATATTCCAGAGAAAAAAGTTGTCTGTCATCAAATGCTCAAATTCCACTTTGGATGAAGAGCAGAGTAACAGGTAACAATTGGTAGGGGAAGCCACATATTCTTGTGGCAACGTATGCTCAGAAGGTTTAACTATGTCACTGTTCCAGGAACAGAAGGCGAGCCAAATCAAAGCAATAAACCTTTTCTTGATACATGGAATGCTACTAAGGATGATAAAGAAGAGGCCAAGCCTGACAGTTATCGTAATCTGGGTAAAGTACTGCATGACGGTGAAATGGCTGTTTTTAGATTGACCCTACTTTATCCCATACCTTTAAGCGATTTGTGGAATGAGAGGGCAGTAACTTATATTAGGATAATATTGGCAAGTTTATGCCATTTAATTAGAGCAATGAGTCATTAATGTCTCCTTTTAAGAAACATGGACTTGATAGTTGATTTTATGAAGAAAGAACATGCATCTGTAGCTCAATGTTCCAGGGAGGGGAATGCAAGTTCTTCTGATTATTAGTTTGATGCACTCACACATTTTGTTTTGGCTATCATGTTGACGCACTTGATGATAATTTTCACAGTTCGGTAGAAAATTTGGTATATCAACAGCATAACTATGTAAATGTCCCGAGCAGAGAGCCTGCAGCTTATAAATTGTCCTCTTTCTTTACCTATAGGGAGCCTGGACAAGCCTACTCAAAGTTATTCAAGAGATCAGAGGAAATTAAGAGTCAGTCTTCTCGAGAACCATCAACTGGGAGAAAGCTTACTGAAATTAGCAGCAAAAGACTTGCTTCTGTACATTATATGAAAAAGGGTGAAGATTTTCCTTTTTATTCTAGTTTCTTGGATTGGACATTCCATGCTTTATAGCATCACATGGATTATGCAATCTTCAACAGGTTGGGAGACAATGCCAAAGATTCTGAAGTTGGGGGAAAGTCGTTGGTTGGTCTAAATTCACTTGCAAGGGAGCACCCAAAAAGTCAATCTCCTTTGACTGGAAGCCATATCAGTGTGAAAACCACTTCTCAATCTGGGGTAAGGCATCTGTACCCAATCAAGTTGTAACTTTAGAGTAGAATGAAATGTTGTTCAAATTCTATTGATTTCATCTTCCCATGTACTTCATTTAACAATTGCTGACAGTGAGTTAGTACTGTGTAAGTTGTCTTTTCCCCGCTGCCACTCCCTCCCTTCATAGGGAATAAAAGGAAGAAATTTACCTCCTTCCCATAAAAAGTTGCCCTGGTTATCACTCTTCTGCTATCCAATGGACATTCGTCTAGGGTAAAATGAGATATTTTTTGTTCGACTGTATATCATAGTTTCCATTGAGACATTGGACACTCACCAATTTGCCGTATATTACTATTTTGATCAACCCATGTAGATATATGTAAGAATATCTTTTGATGCTCTGTGATCATTTGGTTGCTTGGTGAAATTAGAGCCTTTTTCAGCTGAAATCATAAAGTTTTACTTGCAATTCTATTTCAAGTCTTAAGTCTTCCATTATTATTTGCCAGGAAAGCTCATATTAAATTCACCATAATATGCTATAAAGAGGATATTGACATCTTTATCTTTGTCTCTGGTAACATATGACTGGATTATCTAATAGAAGACTACAAGCCTGGAAGTCGGGTTCACCATCTGCTGTAGCATGATTTATTCATGTTCGAGTTGAACCTTCTGAGTCACATGAAATGGGAGAGTGATATTCCTTCGAATAATATTTACTTTTAAGACTGAAATAACTCTTGTTTACAGAAAAATGTATCGATATCATATCGTATCTGTTCTTTACATGGATATGATGCTGTTCATGTTATGTCATCCCTGTCTTAGAGACATTGCCAGCTCAAACAAGTTAATTTCATAATTTCGATTAGACCTTTTTGACACCACTATATTGCATATGCTTAACCTTCTTGCACTAAATTTTTGCAGTTTTCCATGCAAGACGGGCAATTTGAATGAGTTGTGAAGACTAGTCGAAAAGATATGCCACAATCCTAAAGTAACAAATTCAAGCAATGAATCTTACACGGATTCAAGGATCAGAAATGTTGATGTGAAGAACAGTATGTCTCTTAAATGTGCCACAAGGGCAATTCATCTATCTAGCTTGAAAATGATGAGGTCTCACCTGCATCCTAACTTGATCTGCTGGTATTTGAAACCATTCTTAGAAACTTTTAGACTCTTCAGCGCAGTGACCCCACTAAACTGATATGCTAGTCCGTCGCTGCGTGCTAAATGTCAGCATATGAGTCTTCTTTAAAAGCTAGATAGATGAATGTCAGCATATGCTAGTCCGTCGGTGACCAAACATATGAGTCTTCTTTAAACACAAAGTCTTTAAAGCGTGTCCAAGTCCGATAAAAGAGTGATTCCTGAAAAATAAAATGATAACCAATCTTGCGTGAAAGTTTCAACCAGAAATACATATCAACTGCTTACTGTCTACCGTGTTTAATCATTTGGTCAACGTATATTATGTAAAAGTAAATAGATAGAAGCTGTTCTAAATTCTTCGAAAGCTACTGATGTATATATATTTAGATTGTGATATGAGAAAGGATCTATACATAAGAGGAAATAATATCATATAAAAAAATATCGTAAATCATGTGAGATTCGTGTAACAATGAAGGACAATTGTGTATACTGACTATGCACATCACGCGAGTTCGATTTTCGTTATCACCAAATGCAAACAATTTCACATTGAAACCATCCTCTCTGTCTTTGACTCGTATCCTACCTGGTCCACAAGATCTCAAAGATTTTTTACGGGTTTGACACTTTATATGCCTCAGATATAAGCTTCTGAGAGAGGGAAACAATATGTTAATATCGGAAAATGATGGGGGGCTAGATATAATTCAAGTAGATAAAGCCTTCCCTCCTTTTTTCCCCAATTCTGTGTAAGCGTAGTGATGGAAGCAGGTTAATGAAGTTTCAACTGTGTGAATTTGCATAGGCATAAATTCAACTGGTTTTGTTCCTATTCCAGCTAACTTAAAATTATAGTAGAAGTTGAAACCAAGACTCGCTGCGCATCAAAAGTTAAATGAGTAGCAGAAATTGAATCTACACTCTACCACAAAGAAAAATGCTTCACGACTAAAAAAAGTAAATATCCGAAAGATCAACTGCTTTGAATCATGTTTGAAGTGGCCTTTTATCAAACTGTCAAAAACAGGGGAGGATGCAGAAATACATCATCCACCGATTAGATTCTCAATTTTTTTCTTTTAAGAATGAAAAATCTTAAAAAGCATTTTAAGATGCTTTTGGAACACACGTCCTACTTGGCCGACCCCAACCACATGCAAATTCAAGTAACACTTAAATCCATCAAAGGACATAAGTCACTTGATTAGTGGATAGGTGGACCACGTAAGTTGTGTTCTCGAAACACCTCCGTTGGCAAATTTTTTTTTAAAAAAAAAAGTTGTGCAAAGAGTATCTGATTCTATTAATGTTCTATCTTCACCGTAGAAATCGCAAGTCACCAAACTCGTTTGCAGAATGAATAGTTTTAAGCAAGAAATGGAAAACAAAGTGGAGTATATTACGTAAAAAATTCGCTAAACTAAACAATTCGTTTTATATAAAATGAAAAGAGCATTTTAATAAGAGACTCCAAGATATTTTATATATTTCTTCTAAAAATTGTAGTTTGTCCTATTCCTTCCGATAAAAATTGACATTGTCGCGTAGACTTGCTCCACATATAGAACTTTCTCATATACAATAAAAAGAAAAGAAAATGAGAAAACGTGAGCTGAAAATAAAACAAATTTATATAAAGTGGATTTTAAAATAAGTGAGAACAAATATTAATCGATGTTTGTTTGATTGTTTTTTTTTTTTATTTCTCACCATCATTTCAAAATCTACCTTAAAGTTGAATTCGTGTTTGTGGATAGTTGCGTCAAGAAAAAAATCAAAAAGAAAAAGAGAGAATGATTTAGACTCACCTTATACCGCTTGAAGGACTGGACGGAGCCTTCGAATCCTTTCTTAAGCCCTCGTAATTTCCCGCAATCGATGATCCATACGATGCAATCATTTGGCAGTTTGGTGGTTGACACATCAATCAACCTTTCCAACGATCCGCATTCACAAACAGATAAGTAGTCCAAAAACTCCAACTCGTCGACACCCTCGACAACCCGTAGCCCACTGCAGGACATGATTATTAAAGTCTTCAGGTTCTTTAAGTTTGACAAACCACCGAGACTTTGCACATTTGGACAACCCCAAAGGTCAAACGATTCCCATGATTCCGACGGACCTACAACTTGAATGTCGAGTATCTTAGGGCATCTCCACAGTACGAGATCTCGCAACTTATTTAAGACTCTCGATGGGAAAATTAGTTTCCCTTCACAACTAATTGACTCATTAGCAGACTCATAAACTATCCTTTCCAAGGACTCGCAATTTCGAATAGTCAATGCCTCCAGTGATTCGAACACCCAAGAAAATTGGATCTCAACTAGCTTTCCACAATAATGCACCTTGACATCTTTCAGCTTCCGCATTCTTGATAGCCTCAATTTCTCGAGGGATACCAAGTTTTGCACAAGCAACTCCTTTAGCTGTGGAAGTTGAAGCCCATCAAGTTGTATTTCTTGCATTGGAGACCCATAGAGGTTTAAACATGACAAATTTCTCAGGTTCGGAGAGAGTGACCCAATTACATTGAAATGATCAAGGCTTAGCTTTTGCAGAGATAAGGGAAGTTGCGGAAAGGTTTGCAGGTCCAAACCAAACAAAGCAAGTTCTTTTAGCAGAGAAAGGGAAGCCATCTCAGGAGGATCTAGGACTTTGTGAAGTCTGATGCTCAATTTGGTCAGTTTGGATAACCTCCCAATCCACCATAACTCACCCGTACGCAATTTATCTCCTACTCCTTTTTTTGGTGGAAATCTATCATCTAGATAACCTCCACCGTCACTTAGATCCAATTCAACCAAATTAGTCAAGTTCGATAGATCCGGGATTACCAGCAACGATGTAGATGACACTCTTAGATGGGTCAAACTTGTTGGGAGCGTCGGCAACTCTTGAATCTTATCACATTCCACCAACTCAATTCTTTGAAGTCGAGGAAGCATGCTAATGGTCTTGGGAACTTCACTAATACCAGTACGTGATAGATTGAGGATTCTTAGAAAGGGCAGACTTCCAATTCCAAAAGGAAGTTGACCTTTTAAAAGGCCATTATTGACTTGAAGCACTTCCAGATTCTGGAGCATTCCAATAGCACCGGGTAACTCCCATGAATTTGCTGAATCTAAGTCACGAGGAGCGTTACCTTGAAAGTGCAACTCACGTAATGATTTCAACTTCCATATGGAATCTGGGAGTTTCTCCATTCCACGCAATTTACGAAGAAATACTGCAGATTTATTAGGTCCCCTATTTCCTCAGGCAAATGTTTAAGAGAATTGCAGTCATCAATCTTCAGGTCAATCAAACACTTCAACTTTCCAATAGAGTTGTCGATTTTCCTCAAATTAGGACACCGGCAGAAAGCAAGCCTCTCTAAATTCGGGCATCCAGAGAAGTCGGGTGTTCTAATTATGTTGTCACACCGATTAAGAGAAAGAACTTTCAATTTTGTTGACATCTGTCAAAATGAATGCAATATTCAATGGATGAACAATCAAATATTACTTTCTAAGAAAATAAAATAGAAATAAGCATATTACGCACCTTGATTAAGTTTCGTAATCTTGAATCATCTAAGAAGCCAACATCAAAGAATTCAAGAACGACTACATTCTTTAGATACATGTTGGTCCATTTATATATTTGCAGAGGATAACCGAAAGAAATCCATCTTAATTTGGTAAGATGATTCACTGCGTCGCCAACAAGGGTTAATCCAGATAAACTAAGGAATCTCAAATGTTCAAACCTTCCAATCTCTTTACTTTGAACAATGATATCATCATGGGGACGTTGTCTAGATATATTAAGAGATAGTGCTTGAACGTTCTTGTTCATCTGCAAATGAGAATGGGAAATTGAGTGATATCAGTGTTCTATCTCGTAGAGCAAAAGGATTATAAAAAGGAAAAGAAAAAACAAGAAGATGGAGCATCCTAAGTCAATGCAGTGGAAATTTTTGTCAGAAACAAGTTAGTTCTCTCTAGAAGTGCTTTACCTCCTTTCGTCTTATTGCATCAAGGCCCTCCTCCCAAATCCATAGCCTACTCCGCTCCTCAAGATTTATTGGATTTTCTTGGCGAACAATTTCCCTTCCAAGATCTCTGAGTTGATCGTGCATCCAAAACTTATTATTCTCCACAATCTTTACCAGAGACATGCCAATGAGGATAGCAACTCCAGTATCCGGGAAAAACTCACAATCTTTCCACATGTAGATTGCATTCGTCTTATCTTCACCGATGAAAAAGCATGCAATATCGAGGAAAATTTGTTGTTGCTCGAAATTTAAGGCATCATAGCTGATCTTCAACTTTCCAAAAACATCCTCGTGAGGTGCTTTTCTTAACTTTTCCAATGTCTCTTTCCATAATTCTTGCGGTTTGTGGTAGAGGAACGAACCAATTACCTCAAGAGCCAACGGAAGTCTCCCAGTAGCATATACGATTTCCCTTGAAAGATCATTGTAATCATCTAAAGGTGAGTCTCTGTTAAACGCATGCTTGCTGAAAAGCTCAAGTCCATGATCAGTACTCATCACCTCCATTTCATAATCTAAAATTTGATACTTTGGTGCATTGATTTGCAAAACATCTTTATTTCTAGTTGTAATCAATATTCTGGATCCAGAATAAAAAGCACTCTTTCCAACTAATTTCTCCACTTGTTCGTTGTTATCAATGTCATCAAGTACAATGAGGACTTTCTTATTGCAAAGTACTTCTCCAGTCCTCTTCATTCCATAATCATTTTCGTAAATGCTCCTTGTTCCTGCAGGATGGCCAATTTCGGATAATAACCTTTTTTGCAAGTCAACTAAGCCATCGACTCTTAATGACTTCGCACGAACATCTTCAAGGAAACAACAACACTTTCCAAAATGAGAAGAGAGTTGGTTGAAGACGACCTTAGCGAGAGTTGTTTTACCGATACCCCCCATGCCATAAATCTTAATGAGTCGCACACCATTGGAATTGACATCTAATAATTTGCTTACAGCTACTACTTGATCATCGATTCCAACTAAATGTTCAGTCACTGATCTATGTTTTGTCTTCAACTTTTTCACAACCTCCTCAACTACCAA